TTTTATCATTTAAAAATACCATAAAATAATTGATTTATTTTATAAACTGATCATAGTGAAGTATTAAATAATACCATTTATTGATAATTCAAACGAGTATTTTGTGCGGATATGCCTGAAATTGAATTGCCTTCTTGATTCTCAACATTCCATTCAAAAGCTTGATTAGGTGTAAATATTGATGGTGAAATATATGTTTGTGACAAGCCTGCATGAGGCGTGTTAACGTTAGTTGGTAGTATAAGTTTGATATGCTTGATTAAATTCTTGACCAGCGGTAAAAGAAGATATCCTTTCTAAAGATAACCATGGTGGAGGCCAATCATATAACCTAGCTTCTTTATAATAATTTTTAGCTGCTTCATGAGCTCCAGATTTACGAAGATAATCATAAACAAATGCTTCTAATAATTGATGAATTTTTTTATGAGTTCCTTCTCTTTGATCGAAATTGTCTTTTTTTTTCTATCCGTAAAAATATATATATATATATATATATATATATTTAAGGTTATGACCTTTTATCCTCTCATGAGAAACATCTTGTAAGGTTTATTATTTATGCATTAATAATCAAACCAATTTAGTTGATGACTTAAATGATGTATTATTGTATATTATAATTAGATTTATTATGGTAATGAAAAAATTTTTTTTTATTAAATATATAATAGGTAATAAAATAATCATTTTTAATTCTCTAAATTAAATAATCAATTACTTGAAGATTTTCTTAATCTCTCAATCTCTCCTTTTAATATATCTAACGCAAACTTTTCATAATTTATAACTTCGATCTCTTCTTCTGCCGTTCTTTTAACCTGCCACCAGCATAAATCCGTTTCTTTTAATTCTTTCCAAAACATAGCCTCCTCACTTTCTGTCTCATGTGTACCAGCTAAAACTTGTAAAGCTTTTAACCATTGAGCCTCATAATGTTTTTGTGCTTTTGTTGCAGAGTCCAATTGAATTTTAAGGTTTTGAATTTCTGCTTGAAGATTTTGAGTGTTGGCTTGCAATTGTGATTGCATTTCTTTTTTTCGTTGCTCGAATTGTCTGTCTAATTCCAACCAACGTCGTTCAAAATCTTTTTCGGCTCTTAATAAACTTTCATCTCGCGTTTGAAAATATAAGATGGATTGTTGTAACTGTCGATCTATTGACTTCAGTTGTTGAACTTTAGATTTAAGTGAACTTTGATTTTTAGCATTTTTCTTTTCGTCTGCAAGTACTTCTCTAGTAAACTTTAGGTTTTCTTCGGCTTGTTGAAATATTTCTGAACGAAATGTTGACAAAGATGGTGAAAACCTTTCACATTCATTTTTCGTTCCTGATAATGACGTAGAAGAACGAGAAGATAATTGTCTTTCCAAAGGTTGAGACTCCTCGGGAACCGGTGATCCGCTGGAAAGTTCGGATAAGTTAGTACCACTATTAGAGTTTGTCAATATTGTTTTTTGTTTCTCTCCATAATCTTCTAGTCTTATGGAAACGCTTATATGACCCATTTCTCGTGATGTGACTAAACCTACTGATTTTATTGGAGTTAAAGTAGTAAAAGTTTGAACCTCTGCTTTACTTTCTTCATCTATGGTAGGTAAAGATAAGAAAACTTCTTCCAAACGTAATGTAGCAACACCTATTTGTACATCCGTAGGTTCATTATTTTGCCATATTTCCATAAGCAAAGGTACTGCTTCAAAGTATCTTTTAAGTTTTTGGTGAGTCATCGTAACATCAATTGTACTAGTTCCATTAACTAATAATACATCTGAACCGGCTTCTACGTTCGAAATAACCTGTGTGGATTTATTAGAAATACCTAACGCTGGATAGCTATAGATAATAAATATGTTTTTGATGTCTTTATTTAATTTGATCGATTCTAGAACAATCAAAATGCTATACTTATGCTCGCTATTTTGTTCTCGAGTAAGCGCTTGATCTACATTTTCCGAAGGTATTGATTGTGGTTTTTCTATTGCAATTGGAGACGAAGTTAAAGATTCATTTTCAATTAAAGTTGCTGTATTTTCTCTTTTAAGAGTTAAATAAATTCCGATTCTTGCGATTTGTACATCTGCTGATACAGGTAACTCTCTTTTAGTATTATAAATCGGACAAACTCTGTCCAAAGAACGTGGTTCACCCGTCTTTAAATCGAAAAGACCTTTCAAGGGTATGTCAGAAAACCCAATTATTTGATCATCATGATACAAGTTAATGACTAGATTAGATTCTTTTTCAAGAAAATCTTTCATATCCTTTAAAGATGAAAGAATTCGAAAGGTTGCTGTTTCAGGTATTATATTTGGATGTGTAAGGTCATAAAATTTGGTTGATGTGATTGTACTTTCAAAAATTGTATATTGAAAAAAGTATCCATGAGTTGAAAGATCAGGTTCATCGACTTCAGGAAACTGCTGTTGCGTGATAAACGAAATCGTATCTTGCAACAACAAATGTAAATTAGCACCAAAATTAATTGTAATAGCAAAAAGGAAGATTTCCGATCCATCTGCGCCAATTCGATATAAATCATCATCATCATATTTTTTTTCTTCTACATTATTAATTGTATTTTTTACATCCTGGACATCCCCAAAAAGGTTTTCAACAGACTTTCCCAAAGGACTAGGGACATATCCTAAAGGGGTAGGTGTCGATGGTGGTGACATATTTGGTAATATACAAAATCCAATCTTAATTTCGGGACGAAGACCCCTTACTCTAGGATTATGAAGAGAGATCCATTTCTCTTTTCCGGGACGTTCTGATGCAGTTCTCAGATCTAGCATAGAATAACCAACCAATTCACTTCTATCTGGTGAATTTGCTGAAAAACATTGTAGTTTTAGATGTGCCCATTGGGAACGAAGAATGAGTAAAGTTTTATGATCCACCTCCCAAGCAAGCTCAGTATTCCATATTGGAAATGTTGTTTGTTCTACTGTATCAGTCGATAAGATATAATTTGAATCAGAACTGATTAACGAAAGTGTATCATCGATGAACCTGCATTCTACATAGAGCTTCGAATTTTGATTTTGTGTAAAATATCGTCCTATTTTAAAACGAATTAAAATTTAAAAATCGAAAATATATATAATGATTTTTAAAAACTCATAAAAGAACACTAACCCTCAATAACTGTGACAATAATGGTATATAAAGGGTTAAACTTTGACATTTTAGCTCGCTTTATGAATTTAAAATGTAAAAGAATTTAAGCGGAGATGTATCGTATTTATATAGAATTATTCTGCAGTTGTGCAATCAATAATGGTGACAAACATTTCCATTATTATCGTCACCATCTATCTAATCACATTCATAACCACGTGTTTAATATTATTAACCGTTAAAATGTTACGCATTGTTGAATTTCTTTATACATGATCATCGGAAATATTTCGAGGGTAAAATTTTTTTTTTTTTAATCTCATCAATTTTCCGCATCATGAATTCTATGGAATTTGAACTTCTCGAAACAATCTTATATGATCCACCCGCTGGTACATACATTTTTCTTTATATATCTATATCTGTTTTTTTTGACAAAATATATTATAACAATGCATATTCCCTAACGTTAATTCAGGATTTTTTTTACTTGATAAACACTTATCACGTATAAAAAAATCTTCTATTTATTTTTCTGAAAATTACGGATTTTTTAAAAAAATTGCAACTCCAAAGTTTAGTAATTTGATCGAGACGAAACTATACCAATGTGTTGAGAAGTTGGGAGAAAATGTTAAGCAGAGAGTAATTATTATAAAATTGTCTTTATCGTAGTAAGAATATGAAATTTTCTTTTTTTTTCTCTATTTTAAATTTATCTTTTTTAAAAATCATAGGTAAGGTTGACTATAAACAAAGATGGAATACCAACCGTGTCAAGCACTATTTTACAATCCTTGACATCATCACCAGGTTAATTTATAATAAATATTGGCAATTTGGCTGGCAAATGGCCGCAGCAAAAATGGCCAAACCTATTATTTGGCCGAACGGTGTCTGAAATTGTGTTGCGGAGTCTGCGGGCTGCAACCAAGCGAAAACCTGCAATTTCGATTTTTGCCGGCTCCATTTTCTGATCCGATTCCTGATAAATTTAAATTAAGCACAACATATATTATATGGTGTGTTAAATCACATTTTTTTTCGGGGGTTTGATCTGTAAAATTAATTTTGGAAAACTCAATTCCTGGTTTTCGTTTGGTGACACTCATTTATAAATTTTTATAATCCGCAAGTGGTTGTTTTATTTGGTCACGGTCCACAACTAATTTAAAAATTGAATTTCAGACACTGGCCAAATATTCATATTGTAATTTATAGTAATTTGATTGGTTCAATAGAAACTTTTGGCCAAAGTTTGACCATCGGCTATTGCCGGTGGCTAACATTGACCGAAAGGTCAAAAAAAAAGAAGAGGGTTTGGCCGCGCTATTATGGCATGGGCCAATTCTGCATGCCACTAAGTACGGTATAAAAATAATATTTATAATACACAGTCCAAACACTATATATATATTATATCGAAATAAATTGTGTAAATATATGGGATCTTTGCTAGTAAAATGACCCTACGAGCCATTGTTACACAAGATTTTTATTAAGAAAACCATAATAAATCTATTTTTAGAAAAAAATCCTAGCAAAGATCCCATATAGTACTGTAAATATATAATTGTACGCTAGTGGCATCCTGGTCCAGGTGTTTGTAAAAGGCATGTAACAATCTTTGGTGTGCCAGGTACACTATATAAGACAAAAAAAGCATTATATTATTTTCATTTTTAATTTTCATTTTTAGAACCATTAAAAATAGTTTTAGACACAAAGTTTACTCCTTCCGATAATATATTCCTTTATCATAAAACCACCAATAGGAAGATATATGATGATGCTCGTCAACATGTTTGTATTAAATGCAATATTACTTTATTTATCTAAATTCATTAATTAAGTTTACAATATAGGTGCACTTAGATCTGATCCCGGGATCCAACAACAAAGACGATATATTTGACGTATTAATGTATAACGAAAGAAATGAAATTACAGAATGTTCTATTTCTAATATTGCCGTTGAATTTTTTGATAATAATGGTAAATTATTTTGGAAAACCCCGGAAATTGAATGTGGTAATTAATAAATATTTATTTATTAAGAAAAAATTTTTTGATTTTTTATTATAATACTATAATTAATAAAATGCAAATTTGAATAGGATTACTATCTGGTGTAATGAGGTCTTACCTTGTTGAAAGTGGCGATATCATTCCTGGTGTAATTACTATCAAAGAGCTAAAGACTGCACAACAGGTGTGTTGGTTTATTATAATAAGATATATATATTTGTATATTTTATTTCAGTGTTATTACTAGAAAACCGGAAAATCTCTAGAAAGCTACTAGAAGTAAATTAATAGTATTATTAGAGCTTTTACTATTACAAAATTTCACTAGAAGGCCAGAAAGTTCTATTGGAAGTCAAAATTAATAACTCTATTTTATTTATTTTATTTTATTGCAGGAAGGAAGAAAAATCAAATGTTTTAACTCTGTTAGAAAAGAGTATCAAGTAGCTTTAATTAATTTACAAGATGCTTATAGTATTATATATTAATACTTATTAATTTGTAATATAATCAATAAAATTAATTACTATATATGTTTATATATAAAATTAATTATTAATAATTATTATTTAAATTAATATATCAGTTATAGAAAATGTTCTTTTAAAATTGCCAAAATTAATTACTTGTAAATTAAATAAAATAATTTACTTAATTTTATATATAAAATTTGCTGTTATAATTTTTTCAAACCTAACATGGGTTATAATAGTATATATATATTTTTTTTTTGTCAATTTGACAATCTTGTCAATACTTTATTAGATATAAACATTTGAACTCACAGGTAAAATGCACTTTTGACTCAAGTTACTTAAAGTTCACCTAATTTACAAGTATTCACTAACCCAGCTCTTTGTAATATCAAAATATTCAGATTACTTATGTTTGATTTGCTACAGTAAAGTTTATCTCTATATCAAAAAACTCTGCAACTGAATTCTTCGATACATCACTGAATAGTATTTATGGCTTATTAAAATCGCCTCCTTTTTTAACTCTCTTCTTCTAGCTTTCTGAGCAGAAGAATCCATAGTCTCTAACCGACTTATAAAAAAAAAAACTAATACCAAAAAAAAAGATAAAGAGAACAATATAAAAGAGGTGGAAAAAAAAACTGTCTAAGCAACAAAAAAATGAAAAAATAAAATAAAAGAAGAAAAAGACAGAAAAAAAATCAATTTATAAAAGCACTATTATAGCCTATGCTAAACACAGTTGTAAAAATTATATATCTAATTAAATTTAAACAAACCTAATTTTTAAATTTAGAAATCTTGTATATCTCTGTTGTAAAAGTTAAGCCTTATTGTTAAAATTTTTTCTGATTATCATATCTGATCTGAGTCAGTTCATTAACCAGAGCACTAATTAGTTTGTCACATAGTGTAGGTCATTATTGCCAAAACAATTCCATGTTTATATTCTACTTTGTTTATCTGAAAATGAAAAATATAAACAATGCCAATTTTTTGAAAATGGTAAGCTAAATCACTTACTTTTTTGTCAAAAATTTTGGTGAGGTTGGCGAAATATAAAAGAGAGAAAAAACACTTGAAAAACACTAAAAGAGTATAAGTTTTTTTTACTAGAATTAACTATATACTTGAGCTTGCATAGTACTAAGTTTTTTCAATAAGTGATAAACTAGTGCTCCTACAGACTGGACCCAAACCAGACTTTATTCAAGTCTAAGTCTGGTCTGATTTTTAAACCAAACTCAGACTTTTATATTTAGACTTTTTAGTCAAGTCTGAGTTTGGTCTGGGTCTGGTTTGAAGTTTGCAGACTAGTCTGAGTCCGAATAAATTTATGCATTATTTTTTGGTGCTGAATAAGTTAGTAGTTGGACCCAAGTATATTCAAAAATTTTGTGTATTATGTAGTTTGCTAGTATAAATATCTTATACATGTATTTGTTTAACTGACTCTGGTTTAATACTTAAAAATTGTTGTTTAATTGTATTATCATCTTCATGATCTATTTCTTGTGATTATTTTAAGAATTTCTTTCACAGTAGATTGCTTATTAAAATCTTCATTCATACATTTTGTAGCTGATTTAACAATCTAGTATTTCTGTCTTATTAAAATCTTCATTTATACATTTCATAGCTTATTTAACAATCTAGTTCTAAATATTCTAGTCTAGATTCACCAATAATTCTTATAGCTATTTTCATAATTCCTGAAACATCTGATTAAAAATTAACCAAATGCTTCTTAGTTAATTCAATTGAGTTAATGAATTCGGCATAACAGCTTCAATAAAATTAATATACAAGATGGGTGAAAAGTCCCTATACAGAACTTTTTTTTACTATATCTGCTAATACATATTTAAATTTATTTATATATGTAATATATAAATAGGTATAATAATTAAAATGAACCAAAAAATACAATATATTAATAATTAAAAAAAAAGAACCTGTATAAAGACTTTTACTTACCTAGTATATATATAATTTAAAATCAGATAGCTAATATAAATATTATTAAATATTGTATTTCTGGTAGAATACAAAAATATAATACTTCAAAGTATCTTCTTTAAAAAAAAAAAAATTTGAAAGGCTATCATTTTGAAAAATTATTAAACACATAGGTGTTAGAATTCCTTTTATAAGTTAGTTTTCAAGCATTTTGGATATATTGAAAAGTTTAAATCACTTTTAAGATTATGTTCGCTAAACATGAATGATGCAAAATATTTTAAACTTTAATAAAAAAACCTGATTGGTATTTGTATAAATTACAATTCGAGATAGCTAGTTAAACATAAAATTTGTCTTATTACTATTTGAAGAACTAAAACCAACTTGTATATACAAATATAAATAATATTTTATTTATATACAGAATTATACAAATATGTTTATTACAAAAGCCTATAATTATGTAATATATTAGTAAAATTTCTTGTTAGAATTATTGACACACTAAACATGTTGGATAAACATTTAACCGAAAATTTAATAATGTTAAAAATATTGTTATAACAGTCTGTAAAAGATATTATAAAAGTAACTTTTATTATACAGATTATGCTAAAATTACAAACTTAATCGAATCGGCTAAAAAATTACTTGGCTAATTTTTATTAGGTGTTCCAGAAATTATGAAAAAATAGCAGTAAACGGAATTCTATCAAATGCTTTTTGTCCGGCTAAAATCTCTGTTGCAATAATTCCAAGGCTATAAATATCTGATGCTTGAGTATATGGTTAACTTATTAAAATTTCAGGCGCTATATATAGTAGAATTCTACAAATTTTTCCACTCTTTACTTTTTTTAAAAGTCTAAAATCAGTAATACACACATTGTGCAAGCTATCTTGCAAAATATTTCTGCTATATAAATATCTGTGAATGAGTTCTTGCAAATAAATCAACTCAAGATCCAAAGCTTTATAGTAAAAGATACCCAATTTGTCTTTCTATTCTAGTTGTGATATTTGTACAAGATTTTACTATAATAAACTTTTTGTTGTATAATTCATAACAATAATATAGTCACTATAATCATTTCTTAATACTCTCTTACATCCCAAGAACAAAGAATTTTCGTAACCAATTTCACAGTAATTTTTCAATTTCTGAATAAATTCTTGCACATATTTGTTCAAATCACAAATTACTTTGAGTACAATATCCCACTACAAGAACTAACCAAATTTAATTAAACCCAGATCTTTTTGTCAAAGAGTTTATACTTATTCAAATTAAACAGTTAGAAATAAAAGCTTATTTAAATTTAATGTAATAAAATAGTTTTAGATAAAAAATTTCTAGTACTTTCACTTTACAGTATAATTCAATATAGCTAATAAGTATCCTTACAAACTTTACTTAGAAGGCAAAATATACCTACTGCTGATTATTACTAATTATTTTTCTATAGAAGGTTTAATTAAGTTTTCGAGCAATTAACAACCAGACCAAAGTTTGCATTTATAGCTTAACTTATTATATAAGCAAATTTGTAATACAAATTTGTTCACATAATAAGCTAAGCTATAAAAACATATCAGACTAGACCAAACATGTTACAAACTTCGGATATATTCAGACTCAAACTAGTTTGCAAACTTCAGACCGGACTCAAACTGAACTCATAAGTAAGTTTGAGTTTGGTTTGAAGTTCAAAACTAGTAAAATTTAAAGTTTGAGTCTAGTTTGATCCCAGACCAAACCCAGACCAGATCTAGGAGCACTATAATAAACTCTAAACTTGTCAGCAAGTAGTGTGACTGCAGTTAGTAAATGATAAACTTTGAAGTAGTATATGAAAACTACCTCTAATTAATAGCTACTAACTTATAATCTCTTTTCCCATACTTTATATGAGAGTCATTAACTTTACTCTAGTATATTGCTTTTTTTCTAGTAAAAAGTTTTTTGAAAATTGTGGTCTAAATGATTGTCAGAAAGAGTTGGCTATATAATAGTATATTTTATATTTTATTCTAATAGTTTTTTTTAGTTTTTTTAATTTAGTTAAAATAGATTTAGTTAGCTCTGTAGAAGCTTTATTTTTTGGTTTTCTTTTTTTATATTTTCTTGTTCCTCTTTATTATCTCCTTTACTTTTCCTCTTTTATTTTTTTATTTTATTTTACTTTTTTTACTTTTTTTTTTTTTTCTATATGCTATATATATACATTATATATAAATTTTACTTTTTTTTGTATTCAGTAAAGGTAAAGAAAGAAAAATCTAAAGAGTTTGGCTTTTGACAGAGCTAACATAGTTTTTTACTTCTTTCAAGAGGTAGTGCAATAAGTTGCACTAGTGGTTATTCTTATAAAAGACTAAGTGAAGCCAGACTTGCTATATGTAAATATTAAAGTAGATTTTATATATATATTTTTTATCTTTTAATAAAAATATCAATAAAACTGTCAAAAAGTTAAAAAATACTATATATATATATATATACAGTATATATATAAAATTTGCAAAAAATATTTTGTTTTAATTTACTTAAAAAAAAAAATAAATATAAAAAATAGATATAAATTTTTTTTTGTTGTTGTTAAAGTTTTTTAGAAACTAGATTTTATTAATATTTATATACAGTATATTTTAGATTATAATAATAATTTTTTTTTATTAATTCAGCAATCTTGCCAATATTTTATTAGGTATAAACATTTTAATAATAATTTTTTTTTATCAATTCAGCAATCTTGCCAATATTTTATTAAGTATAAACATTTAAACTTACAAACAAAAATATACTTTTGACTAAGTTACAAGTATTAGCTAACTCAGCTTTTTGTAACACCAAAGTATCCAAATTACCCATGTTCAATCTGTTATAGTAAAGTTTATCTCTATATTAAAAAACCTTACAAATGAATTCTTTGATACATCATTAAATAGTATTTATAGCCTATTAAAATCATCTTTTTTTCTTCTAGCTTTTTAAGCAAAAGAATTCATAGTTTCTAACTAATTTATAGAAAAAAAACTAATACTAACAA